TAAAAAGGGAAATTTCTGACTATAGATACCTCATCTAGGCAAGAAGGGGTCATGAAAGCTACTCTTATCCAAGGTATCATATCACCAAGGCAAGAAGTATAGAATGAGGGAAAGTGAACGTCCTAGGCGACTAAGCACCTAACCAAGATATCGAGAATTGAGGTAGGAGATATAAGACAATATGAACAAGCACGGAGCATCAATGTTGCTCAACGTGAGTTCAAGAAAAAGTGTGGGGGATTGATTGCAAATCTCGTTTCCATCTGACCGACTTGATAATGAGCGCAGCACACTCCAAAGTATCGGCGTACAACACGAGCTAAGGATAACACAGATTGAAATTTTAGGGGTTGATTGTAAACCCTACTCCGCTTGCCTTCTTTGAGGACTTAACAATGGGGAAAGGGAATGGGATGCATCTTTGAGATCTTTGGGCACAAATGTAAACACACGGTAGAATACCTACTTCGAGGTAGGTCTTTAAACGATCAATAAACACAGTTAGCAAACAAGTGCAGAATGTCTTCTAAAGGACTTTAAACAGCGACTTCGAGTGCACACTCTTTATTATCCTATTTCTCATGATATCTAGAAAGTGATAAAATACGGAAAGATAAAACAAGCAGTGAAGTAATACCAAACAGATAAAATGTTTGTTATACAGTAAGCAAGTGAAGCGAAAATACTCCAGAAAACTTCACGCAAGCTAGCATCAATAATACAATAGTCAGAATATGCGTCGATCAAATAAGCACAATGAGAATGCGTGGTGTACACCTCCGCAATAGACAAGACACCTGCATACAAATTCACAACCAGACAAAATGCACATATTCTATTCATGAAATAAGAATCAAATAACCAACACTTTAGTTACATGATTGAAAGCTCTCGCAAAGCATCTTGCACAAGTCAACAAACATATTAGTGATAACAAGAAATCGCAATCAGTGTTATGTGTTCTCAACATAATTTAATTTATGATTAAATCATGAAGAAGTAGAAATTAAATGCACATTAGAAGTATAAACACAAACTCCGGACAGTCTTGTATTACAAAAATGAGTGCACAAAAAGTCAGAATTGAATCGCACGAAAATCTTACGGTTGTCTTCAAACTTACCAAGAAGCTCACAAAAGTATATGCCTCGAATTAATTCCAAGCGCAAGTACTACTTCCATTACCGAGGCAGTCGTGTGCATTTGTGTGAATTTCAACCGAAATCAAGCTCAAACAACTGAAGTAAATGCAAAAAAGTGTTCATTGATTCAAGTAACATCACTTAAAAAGTGTAAACAAGTTACAAACAAGAAAAATACAATGGATGCCTTGATTCCAATCATAAGCCAAAAGTTATGTGTTAATGTAATTTCCACCAATTTGAGGTTTTCAAAATGTCAAAAAAATTAAATTCATCAACAAATTAGTGTCAAATTACATTAACTCGTGAAGTTATATCAAATTCACATCAATTCAAGAATCATACTTCAACATTATTTAACAAATCAAGCATTGTAAAATTCAACCAAAAATTAAACTTCACTTCAACATTATTGCACATTCAAGAATCAAACCCAATTCAATATGTTTATACTTAAATCTACACTTCAAAATTCAACTCGTGAACAACTCTAATGGTTAACCAACCCCTTCCAAGTCTCTTTAATATCACAAACTCTACTTTAATTCAAGAATCAACAACCTCCACCAATTTCAACAAGGTTCTAACTTATTCCACACTTTGACATTATCACAAAATCAAGTATAAACTCCAAAATTCAAATTCAACCATATTTACCTCTTAGGAATTTTATCAAACACCTAAGCTACAATAATATATCTCAACCAAACTTCAAAGTTCCAACTTAAGTTTATTTCCAATTCTCAATTCACAATCAATATTCAACACTTTAATTCTAATAACTATATCAATCTTCAACTCATGAACATAATCATAATTGCAAATTAATTCAAGAGTTCAAGCAAAAGTAATGAGAGTTACCAAATTGAAGTGAAGAAGAGGTTGAAGAAGAGGATGCGTCGCCAGAATCACGATCGGAGAAGAAAGAGAGAAGGAGATTTGTGACTTTTGACTTTTTTGTTCTTGATGAATTTTTGAAGATTGTTGATGTTCTTGAACAAAATTGAGAGAAGAGTGTGTTTGATCTTTGAGAGAATATAGAGAGATTTGTGAGGAGTTTTTGGGAGTGAGAGAAGTTATAAGAGAAATTCTGATTTTTTAAATATAAACTCTCTAATTGGACCTTGGATTTGAATTTGGGTTGAGCCTTGTTTTGACAGAGTAAGCACATTTAACACACAACATGAGAACGAAATGTCACGTCATCACTGGTGTGAAATATCGACTCGAGCTCAACATCAAAATCAAAGATCACAAAATTTGTGACGTGATACCGAAAGAACGGGCTCAATCGGATAAATGACAAGAAAATTATGAATTTTGGAAGATGCACAGACGCTGTCTCAAACAAACTTATTTCATTTTCAGCTTTTTTCATTGTTCAGTCTGGAAAGAATGTCGCGAACAAAAGTCCTTCGGTCAAAATTCGAACTCGGGGTCTGAAGCAAATTCAGAGTAACAAAATTTGTGAAATTATGCCGAAAGAACCGTCACAATACGATAAAAATCGAAGAAGTTACGTTTTTTACAATATCGGAAAACGGTGTAACAGAAATCCGGTTCAACACAATTAATTTCTCTAGTAATCTATAATTCTGGGGACTTTCCTCAAAGAATTAGCTCTCGGCCCGAACATACGAATCGAAGATAAAATCAAGGTGGATTTTTCTTCCAAAGGACGGCTCAAAAACATCGATCCAAGTGAAAGTTGTGAATTTTTGAATGTCCGTAAAATAATGGTTCAACACAGTATTTTCACTATTTTTTCACCGTTTAGCTTCAAAGTACTCGCCCATTCGGAGATCCTCCTCGAAGAACTAGCTTTTGAGCCGAACATGAAAGTTGGAGGAAATAACAAGATGATTCAAATGCTCCAAGAGGCACTAAAAGATGATACTCTAATCAGAAGTTATGAATTTTTAAGCGTCCGAAAACCCGAGAAACGGTAAATCTATTGTATACCGTAATTCAAGTATTTTGCGCTTTAGAAAATCTTTCTCACAAAATTATCCTTCGACATGAACAAATGAAATAAAGAAGACCTCAAGACGGTTCTAACGACTGAAAAATCAATTCCAAACCATTTTCTGAACTCGAGTTGTGAAATTTTGAGCTTGAAACGCACAGTACTGAATTTATGTCTGCACTGTCTCAAATCGACTGAAACGCTTGACTTTCTGCACAATTCAGAGCGTGTTAAAACACATAAGAACTTGATATGATGATGACTTGCTTGATTTTTGATTGGATAGCTTGGACACCATGTGAATCGCATAAAAATGCGAAAAACCCTGAGTTCTACTTCACAGAGCTGCTTAACAGAACAGCCAATTTTGACAACTCTTTCTTGCAAATAAATACCCTAATTCCATGAGCATAAGCGTATGATATGAATGTATGCATATGGTAATGAAGTATGAGCCCATTAGATTTAAAATGAAGAGAGGGAATTTTGGAGTACAACAATACTGAAAAGAAAAATCCTACGAATTTTCTAAAATGTCCATGAAAACCGAAAATATGTTTCCGGTGTGCATCCACACGCACATAATTCATTCATTTTTGAAATTCGCCCTATTTTACGATAAAATTTATTCCAAAAATACACTTCCAAAAATTTTCTAAAATACACTCCCGATGTTTTCCAAAAAGAGGATCACAACCAACATATGATTTGCTAGCTGAGCTACAGAGACATTTGGCTGATATTTTTGTTGGTAAAAAGTTGAGGTTAGATTTGTTTACTATAAATCTCAACTTTCAGTTAGAATTTATTTTGAAGTTACGATTGTTTCTCCTTCATGGAAGTCAAAAGTTCATCAAAATCAATGTTACGATTTGAATTGTTTTTAAAATCATTTGTGTTTTAAATCAATTTTACCTCTAGTAAACGTGAATCCAAATATGTAATTTCTTTAGTTAATATTGGATATAAGTCTTTGAGAAGTTTTATTTTTTAGATTCTAGAAAAAACTCAGCTAGCAAATCATATGTTGGTTGTGATCCCCTTTTTGAGAAATATCGGAAGTGCTTTTCAGGAATTTTTGGAAGTGTGTTTTGGAAATAAATTTTGTCGTAAAATATGGTGAATCTTAAAAACAAATGAATTATGTGTGAGTAGATACGCACCGAAAATATATTTTCGATTTTTAGAGGTATTTTTGAAATTTCGCATGATATATTAGAAAAGCATATGATAGAAAAAGAAATCCTCAATTTTTGTGAGAAGATATATAATTGTTTATAGAGAATCTCCTAGATGCCAAGATTAAGCCTCAACACCATACCAAAATCTACATACCGTTCCTCACATCACATGTCAAGCACCGCATAATGCTTGGATTGATTTTATGTAACTAATAATGCATCTACATGTTAATGTATATTATGTTAATTATTGAATCATACAACCATCATATCATATACTAATTGACTTTCTTGCAATTTCATGTAATTATTGAAATCATATCAATGAATGAGACATAGAGAGAGATTTCTTGTATCTTTTTTTAGAGATTTCTTGTATCTTGAATCTGAAAAAGTATCTAATATTATATAATTCAAACACTAAAAAGAAATGACATACAGATCACAGAACTGTAACAAAAATAGTTACAACATTTGGACAGATCAAAACATGACAGATGTACACTTCAACTTTCCAATAACTCATTGATGATATAAAGTGATTAAGGTTTTATATTTGGACCACTCACAAACATGGCACTACACTTGTCTAGTTAATATAAGGCACTTTTTGATGAAGATAACACCAAACTTTCCTTTCAAAACCTACTAACAGTTATTTCAACCAGCTCAATCTGTCTGACAAAGTAAAAAAAAAACAGTAACAGAAAAATGGGTTTGAGAGTACTAGCAACCTTTTCTCTTCTAGTTTTGGTCCATCTCATCAATCTTGCTTCTTCATATCCTATTAAGAACAACTTGCCTTCAGGTACTATATATCCTATTCTTAGCTTCTCTTCTTATTTTTCCTCTTTTAAGTATAAAAAAGGTTTCCTAAACTGTAAACTGAATTGTTGTCTCACCACATTTGTGGGTTGCGTGCTGTTTGTCTGCTAGCCTATATAAACCTAAGATCAAGAACAGAGACACTGTTTCTATGTGGTCGCGGAGATATCAAAAAAAGCTTGATATCATCATCCAAATAGAAATCAAAGACTCTTTAGCATTGACACATCTGAAATAAGATGTTGTGTTCAGGGTGTCAGTGCTTCATAGGTCAAAGACTTTTTTTAGAACCCTGTAGCACTATTTCCATTCTATAAGACTATAAGTAACAGATCCCTTTTCTTGATTCCTTGAAAGAGAGGATAAATGGTAACTGTTAATAGATTCTTTAGTTATGAGCTTGGTGAAAGAAATGCTATTTAGGTTCAATAGAAACAAGACACCTACTTTGATTTATAAGGAAGGGGACAAACTTGTGGATTGATTACTATCTTGCCTTTAAGTTTTGTCTCCCACTAGTAAAAAATTTAGATGCTACAGGGTGGAAAAATTCCTTTGCATGACAAGAAATGTGAATTTTGTTGTAGATAACTTTTAAAAGATGTCTTACCACTGTCCTCTATCTTCTAATACTGACCAAAGGGATCTGATACCTAATTATGAGTCATTTTCAACAACCGATATGATTTTGCGCGGATAGTTCAAATCTCATTGCACTGCCCTTTAACAACTAAAAAAATGATTTGCTCACAGAAAACATCACTTTTTTAAGAATGATGTGAGATTCTTATGTGTAATGGTCCACTTTGCAGTTGATACTTCAACATAAGAAGGGAGTATAGTTATAGAATTTGGTTTATCAGTGGTCATTTGTAAGAAGTAACTACAGCAAAATTTCTTCTGTACTTGACATTTTTGAACCGAAAGAAAATGTTAAATTTACAAGAAAAATACTTGGAGAATAAGCATTGCTAGTTTCTTTCTTAAGCATGTTTAAATGAGCAAATATTTTAAATAAGAGTTTTGTTAAATAGAGTTTGTGCAGAAAAGCAAGTTAGAAGATAAGGCAATAAATGGAAGTAAGATGGAAGGAGGTGGTACTCATGGAGGAGGAGGTCATGGTGGCCAATCACACGGAGGAGGAGCAGTTATACCTGTTTATGCAGCTGGGGCTGCAAACAAAAATCACAACCATCGTGGTGCTGCCAACTGCAACCTCAACAAAATCAATTTTTCCTCCACGTTTATGATGATATTTATCTATCCTCTCATGCTGCTTTGTTAGCAATAGAAACTACAAAAATAGCACAGTAAATGTTATGCAATAAATGTAGTACGCTTTTTTTCTACAGTAATGTTTTCTAGTTCTCTAATAATAAGTAATGTATTTTGTTCAGTTAGGATTTGTGACACTATGCAGAATGTGTCGAGGAATGATTACATGCTCAAATTATCAAATTTACATACAAATGCAATAAAGTTTATAGATTTTATGTAAGCAGAAAGTGTTTACCTGTGCTTGGATCGGCAGTTGTAAGTTTGAAAGATACAAATTGGATAGGTTGTCGTGACATGATACATGAACATAACAGAAAACAGCTCCACACAAATACTAAAACTTTTCATAATTGATTTCGTTCAAGATATAAATTTGAAGCAGTGTTTGCAAGTGTAATGTTACAGTTTATAAGAGAACTATAGTTCATCTTTGGTAACATTAAAGCTGTCCAGCAAAATTGCACTCATAATAACCAATGTTATTTTGCACAGGCATGTCTTTTTCTTAGTTTAATAAAAGAAGCAAATAGCTCAAAAAACCAGACAACTACAATCCAATCAAAATAAAGGGGGAGAAACAACAAATTCAACTAATCCAATCACTTCATTCAGATGTCCAAAGTGGACTAATATTCATTTTACATCAATCATACTGATTAAATTAACATAATAGTACACATTGGTTAGACTGAGTACGAGAGAATCATCATAGGGAAGCATATATACACAAAATGCTCTCCAATATACTAAACTTCAAATAGCTATAAATAACTTGGATAATGCAAAGACAACAATTAGACATTTTCAAAAATGAGTGAGGTGCTCAAGTTTCCGGGCCTGAAAAAACCTAGAACGTCCTTTACCACTTGATTCTATTTCTTCACTTCTCTTCTTGGATGAGGTGAAACCCATATTGTTCAATTTCAATTGCCGTTTGCCATTACTATTATTGCCGTTGCCATCTTCATCCAAGTCAGACTCCCTATAAAAACATTTTAGTTTTAACGAAGATAAATAAGCATAAACACCAAGCATGTGCCTGGAACATAAAAAAGGAGAGAGAAAAAAGTGATGATCCCCACATACATAATGGAATTTATGTATATTGGAAAATATCATTTGTGTGTGGGGCGGGGGAGAGGTTCTAAAGTAGTGGACCCATTCAATGCTCATGCTTCAAGCTCAAAGTTTATAAGAGAAGATTGTGGTAGAAATATAAATCCAAGCCTAGCACCCACAGCTTTTAGGATAATTGAATATTTCACAATACACTTTTGACTTTATATATTATTTTTCCTTTTTTGACAACAAAAGACACTGGAAATTAAAGGGCAATTCCTACTTATCAATAAGAAAATAGCTAACATACTTCACAATAAGTGTCTTTAAAAGATTGTAAAAAATTGCACCTTTGAAATTAATAAGGATGTTTCTGTGGTGCTAAGAACAGCCAAGAGATGTGAAAATAGCACAAGTTGGTAGCCTACACCATATCAACTATCAAGGACTATTTCACACCAGAGATTAAGTTTAATAATGCAAAAAATGTCCAGAAAATTAACATACTTTTTTGAGAATGATTCTAGTTATATAGATCATTAATGAAAATAAACTACTTAGAAAATTCCAAAAATAATTGATGTGGGATTTGCTTTGATCTGATATTTTGCTATTCTTGTATCAAATGAGCCCTTGAAGCCCCTACAACTACGGAAATTAAAAATAAAAAACAGTTGGAAATATTTTTTATAGTTTTGTATAACTCAACTCAACATTTGACTTAAGTTACTTATGATGGTTATAAATAACACCTGGCAGTATGTCAACATTAACATGGGACGCTTCATGATAGTCAACTGCGCCTACAAGCCTAGTTCAAACACAGTAGGAAGCATGGCAAAAAAAAATTGAAAACAAGAATATGCTCACAAGTATAAAATTGAAAAACTTGAGGCTTATTTGGTTTCTGTTTTCATTTTGCGTCCAATTTTCAATTTTAATTACAAAAGTTCCTCTTCGTCTTCATTTAATTTCTTGTTTTCAAAGTTTTAAACAATAAAAACAATTAACAAAAGTTTTGTATCATATACAAAAATTGAAAACAAGAAACAAACTCAAGAAATGTATACCAAGGTATTTTATAACTACACCTGAAATCAAGAAATGTGAACATAAAATGATTTTGAAACCACACAAATCCTTAGAAATCAAGAGCAACACACTCACATGTTATCATAAAGATTAATAAAGCATGCTTACCATAAAACTTCAGCACCACTTTTAAAATAAGTGCTGCAAGTTCCCCAACTAAACCGGACCAATGTTGGAAAACCGAAGATAGAGTGTTTGTGATTTTCTAGCCAAGACTTGGTCGCGGGATCTACATAAACAAAAAACAAAACCATATTTATTATAATTACAATGTAAATCAACTAATAGATACCATATGCGATGTACTTATCTTCTCACCTCCTGGATATCCAGAGCCAAAGTTCCTCTGTATATTATCAGCAGTCTCATCAAGCACCCATTCTCTTACGGCTCGGTCTCTTGTAACCTTAAAGGTTGGATTAAAGGTTGTAAGTAGACAATAAAACTTTATACTGCATCAAATTTTAGAAGAGAGGGATACCTTTGCAGCTATACTTGCACCACTGACAACAGGATATAGACTATCAGCTTTCTTTGCAACCACAAATTTGATAGATGGGAAATTTTTAGACATCTTTGCTTCATATTTCCCTGGATCTCCAACCGTGTCAATATAAACCTGAAAAGCACAAATCATACATTACATCTCTAATAATCCAAGTATCTGCATAACATTACTACCCAAGTACTTAACAATAAAAGTTACAAAAGGCTCAATTTTCTCTTTCAGTACTCAATTTCATTGTAGAATCAAGACGGGAAATCAGGCCAGCAAGTGTAACTTACTAGGGGTGTAAGCGGATCAGAAAAAACCGATTAAACTGAAAAACCAAACCGGAAAAAAAAAAGATTTTTTCTAGTTCGGTTCAAAAACCAGACCAATAAAAGCCGAGGTTGTTTGGTTCGGTTATCGATTTTAATTTTTAGAAATCGCCAAACCGATGCTATAGTTTTTAGGAATAAGTGCCTTCACTCTCCTACAAATTGGACTTCAAAAAATGTTGAAACAGAAATACAACGCATCATGATAATTAATCATTTTTAAATAATACAACTATGTTTTTTTTTAATTAATCATGTCAGACTTAGTGAAAATTAACACTTGGATCAAAACAGGTTCCAACATGCTATGATAAATTAGCATCAAAACAGGTATCCTGAGATTATGAATTTCTCAAGTTTCCCATCTATTGGCAGTAACTCACATAAGAGTGAGTTAGAGAGGTATGTTGGGGCTGAAATGAAGATTGCAAGATCTTTCATTTCATATTTTTGGTTGGTGGAAAGGTAATTAAAATCTACAAAATATTACATCCTTTCTCACATGGCTAGAGATATATTAAATATACCTGAGTCTATAGTTTAGAGTCTACTGTTTCCTTTGAGTCTGGGTACACCAAAAAAACATGATAGTAGAGAATGCACAGAAAAATATAACAGCGCTATAGATAGATCAACCGAACCAAACCAGTTAGTTTGGTTCGGTTTCATTTTTAAAAAACACTTAAAACAGATCCAAACCAAACTGAGGGAGGGGTTCGGACTTTTTTTTTACCAAAAGTCAATCAAAACCGAACTGATTACACCCTATCCCTTACTAAAAGGCATACTCTGTTATAACAAAAATCATGTTTGGGAAAGTTACTCCCTTTCGAATATGTTTTTACCTCGGTTAGAAGCACTCCGATTTTGAGCACCCTATCAACGAGGCCCATAGCAGAGTCATGGGATATCTCATTCAAGTTTATCTTATTCCTGTTAAAGTTACAAAAAGGAAGGAACAATCATTGTGAAATTGAAAAGAACAGAAAAACAACAAAATCAAAGACTAACTAACTAGGGTTTAATTGGTTTACTTCTTGAGCATTTTAGCAGAGAGTTCCTTTGGATCAATGACATCAACAGCCCATCCAATAGAATCATTGGCTTTCAAAGCTTCAAACAATTCCTCCCTCTTCTCTTCTTTCAGTGTCTTCGAATCTGTTCAAACAAATATGCAAATGTGACACTATGAATCGAAAAATGTATATGATACTATCACTTTGAATAAACATGAACACTCATTAGCAGGTTTTAAAAAACAGCCCACGGCCACGACAAAACGGTATCACGCTGATACCGATATCATTATTCACCGTTTTTATGTTAAAAAACAAATTATTCTTATTTCACGGCGCGACAACCGCAATCAGTATCGCCACAACCGCAATCAATATCGCGACACCCGTATTTACACGACCGCAACGACCATTTTTAAAACCTAACTCATTAGTGCCATTTTAATTGATGATAGAAGAATAAGAACAAAGAGAATGAGAAAGCACCTGCGAAACTCAAAGTAGCTAGGGTTTTCTTGTAGGAGAGAGGACAGTATAAACAGGCATAGACCATAGGACCGAGAACAGGGCCTCTTCCAGCTTCGTCGATTCCCATTATGCAAGGCTCCGATGCCCATTCTGGAAGTGTAGCTTCAGATCCCATTTCCGCTTCTCAGTGAAGAACCACAAACGCGCGTTTGCTTAATAGCTTTTCAACTTCCCGCCATTAATGTCTCTGAATTTATGAGAGCGCGATGAAACTAGGGCAGGGTTAAGAAAGAAAATGCACTCAATCTTATTTTGTTTTAGAAATTATATTTTTAAATTATATATAAATAATTTATATTGAGATTAATTCTTAAGAAACTACATCTGTTTTTTAATTATAAATCATTTTAGATTTTTCACATATATTAAAAAAAATTATTATTATTATATAAAAATGAAAACTTATAAAAAAATTTACAAAATTATATTTTCTTAATGCAACTTATATTATAGTATAATTTTTTTCTAAAAGGACTTGTAATAAAAAACA